GTGTGTGTGTGTGTGTGTGTGTGTGTGTGTGTGTGTGTGTGTGTGTGTGTGTATGCGTGTGCGTGTGTGCATGTGCGCATGCGTGAAAGTATGTGTGTGTGTGTGTGTGTGCGTGTGCGTGTGCGTGTGCGTGTGTGTGTACGTGTGCGTGTGCGTGTGCGCGCTCTCGCGTGCGCACATAGTGATCAACGGGACAGGAGTCGTGTTTCCGGATGCACTCCCAGGCGTGATTTCGCGCGATGCTCTGATCTTCTGAAGTTCATCCCATTCCCCACCCACGCATGGGTGCTGCGACCCTCCAGGGATTCGTCCACGGTGTCGCCCCCATGCTGCACAACAAGTTGGCAGGCAGCGCAGACATGCTGGCAGCGATGGTTGCAAAGGTGGGCTTGCGGGCTTCTGAGTACGTGCTGGCGGGGCAGCCAGGCTTCTGGGAATGCGCAAGGCAGAGCATTGAGTGGGATTTGCCCTAATCAAAGTGCCAGCAGTGATCATCTTACTGTGATCTGTTGCAGCGCACTGTTTAACAGATACGTTGATGCATGGACAGACATGAATGGCCATGATGCCATGTGTTTGTGCATGTGTGTGTGTGTGTGTGCGTGTGCGTGTGTTTTTGTGCATGTGTGTGTGTGCGTGTGTGTGTGTGTGTGTGTGTGTGCGTGTGTGCAGATGTGTGTGTGTGTGAGTGTGAGTGTGTGTGTGTGTGTGTGTGTGTGTGTATGGTTGTGTCTGTGTGTGTCTATGTGTGTCGCCAAGCTTGAAACTTGCCCACAGCCATGCAGATGCTCACATACACGTGTACGCACCACACACACAAACCACACATATACTGCCTGCACAGGCCCACTGCCGCGCATCCGCAAGCAGCATCAGCGCCCCGATCAGCGACCTGCCCTCCGCCCCCTCTGAGCGCGCGACCAGCGCCGCTGGAGTCGCTGGCGGGCCTGTGCAGGCGAGCAGTTCCCTGTCCAGCTCAGACTTGTCGGAGCCGCCGGTGCGCACCCACTTGGCGAGGCTGACCCAGACGTCCTTGAAGCTGTCGCTGTCTGGCAGCCAGCGGCTCAACACTGAGGCCATGCTCCAGGTGACAAGGTTTGCAGTGGAGGGTGTGTGATGGGGGTTGCTCGCGTCCAGGGTCTGGGTTGGGGCATGTGGGTGTTCAGGCTGTGTAGCGTGGTGTGTGGGAGTCAAATCACAGGGAGGTGCGGGTTCAGGGTGATCAACAACACTCTGTATCCAGCAGGGCTTTGGTGACACATGTAGGTTTTTGGGGGGTTGTCAGTATGCATTTCAACACTTCCAGGGGCTTGCATAATTAGGCACCAGTCTCCAATCATGCACGACACCTGCTGAGAGGAGGTTACTAGGACAGCGGCGGCAATAAGGAACGCAACCTTTGGCTGATCTCCACACCCGCTGGCATGTTTCTTCGAGCAGTGTGCTAAGCCTTGCACAGGCTGTGCGTGCGAGACACGCGATGGTTGGCCTGTTGCATGCCAATATGCATAGTTGCATTGACCATCTCTCTGTCCTGTCTGCCTTTCTACTTGCGACAGGTCCTGCAGCAGGGGCTGCGCTCCAAGGAGCAGCGCTCGCTCGCCGGCTCGACAGATCTTGCAGTCGGGGAGTGCCTCGGACGAGGTGCGTAGGGAGTTGAATTGGAGTTGAGGAGAGAACGGAGGATCTCGAGGAAAGCGGTCAGTGCAACGTTCATGGGAGTGGTGGGCGGGCATGCAGGAGGAGCAATCGCCAAGCCAAAGCCGCCGCGCCAGTAAAACCAATGTTACTCGGGGGGATCCTAGTAATGGGTCGCGCCAGTCAGGTTGATTGCGCGCGACGCCATCTACAAAACGCGGTTCGGCTTCAGCTCAGCAGCAAAGGCACATACCAGCGAGCCAGCTGCAGAGCTTTCTGACGCACAATATGCTGTGTTGCCCAACCGCTCATCCACCCTTGCTCTCCAGGTGGCTATGGCACCGTGTACAAGGGGTGGTGGCACAAAGTGCCCGTTGCAGCAAAGGTGGATGGGCGCCTGATGAGAATACGGAAACAACTGCTGGTTGCTTTGGGGGCTTCACTTCGAAGGGCATCCGCGAAATGGCAAGGCCCGTCTTGAACTATCGACCTGAAACATTTTGGTATTCAATCTATCCCCTCACAACTTGCCCCTCCTCACTGCGGCCGTCTACACAGGTCATGCCAGCACGCAACAGCGTGCACGAGGTGCGCACGCCGTCGTGGGTCGTGAAACATTCGGCCTGCCCCCAGCGACTATCTCATGCCTCGAGGCTTGGGTGTTCCTGTCACCGGTCGATTCTGTGCATGCTGAGCTGGCAAGCTGCATGCTGAGGTCCTGAACCCCTGCCGCCCAATCATTGGCGTCGTAACAACCCTGGCGCATTCGCTAGTTATCACGCGTGCTAGAGTGCTCACTGATATAGCGGCATGATGCTGCCCATCCCCCCTCCTCCATCGAATCCCAAACCTGCAGGCGATGCAGGTCGCGACCGAGATGGCGGTGCTGTCCACGGTGCACCACCCTAACATCGTCAGCGTCTTCTGCTGCCTCACAGACATGGTGGAAGCGGCGGGTGCGCATATTCAGCGGCTCCGAGCGAGGGGGCCCATGTTTGGGGACGGTGCATCCCTGGACGTGCCACTCAGCACGAACAGCATGCTGTGCTGCGTCGAGCGGGGACCTGCGATTGGTTCCAGGCGATGCTATTGATGGAGCTGACTGCTGTGTTTTTTTACGCGCCGGGCCATTCAGAGAAATCCGCTGTTGCTGCAAAATCTGACCTCCCTTCATGCCGCACTTGCTTTGCTGTGTTTGTTATGTTTCCCTTTCCCACCACCCCGCGCGAGGCTACACCTGTGACTGAATGTTTCTCGCCACCCCTCCTTTCGCACGCATGCACCATCAGACGGCCCGGCCGGCCACAGCACCAGCGCTACTGGTGCTGACAGCAGCGACTTGAGGGTGCGATACCGCCGGCTGGGCGCCAACGAGGACCCCGAGGGGAGTGAAGCCATATTCAATATCATGGTCATGGAGGTGAGCAAAGCGATCTGCCAGTCATGCGCCCAGGACCGCAACAGCGGCAAGAATTTTCCGGGGTGGCGCCACTCATCCTACACACAGGGGAGAAGGGGCATGCCTGGTTGCGCTTCCCGTGCAGTACCATACCTGGGGGGGGGGCAACCGACAATAACACACCTTCCCCGCTCATACCTGCAAACCCCCCACTTCCGCCCTGCAGTTCTGCGACCGCGGCACCCTGTATGGCGCCATGAAGGCCGGCCACTTCCACCGCGCCATGCCCAACGGCGCCATCGGCGTGGACCTGGCGGCCATTGTGGCAGTGCTACTGGATGTGGCCTACGCGGTGCAGTACCTCCACGCGCTGCACCTCATGCACGGCGACATCAAGGTGCGCCGCCACCAGCCACTGTGGAAGGGCTAAGGTGGAGCCAGAAATATGAGGTTGGATCCGCCTGTCATATGTCATGGATTGACAGGCCAGCAGGAAAGTCGTGCCGGGCCGCTTGCCGGAAGACACTGCGCCATTGCTGAGGCGTGCTATGCTCACAGACTCTCGCCAGCAGCGCGCCAGTAGACCTGCTCATACAAGCTCATGTGGACTCGAGAGCGCACAAACGCTTGCAAACATGCACCTGCAAGAAGCTTGCAGCATCCCTGGCCTATCTGCTGGGACGGGTGGACTCTTTCACTGGCCTGCTGGGTAGAAGCAAAGCGTTTCAGCGCGCCCGCGTGCGCACACACACACGTGCACACACACACATATACACACGCGCACACACACACACACACACACACACACACACACACACACACACACACACACACACGCATATGAATACACGCACGCACGCACACACACGCATATAAATACACACACACACACACACACACGCACGCACACATACACACACACACATGTTCCCTGCACCTCCATCATGCCCCCCTTCAGATGGAGAACATCCTGCTGAAGACCGACCACGGGCGGCCCCTGGGCTTCACCCCCAAGCTGGCGGACTTTGGCCTGACTCGCATCCTGAATGATGCTGACAACACCGTCAACCTCACAGGGGCCGGCACTGTTACGCACCTCGCACCTGGTGGGTGATGCAATTTTGCTGCTGCCGCCCTTGCCGGTGCTTAGGCTGTGCCTGCTCCTGCTGTGGCTGCTCTTGCCGTGGCTGCTCTTGTTGCTGCTGCTGCTGCTGCTGCTGCTGCTGCTGCTGCTGCTGCTGCTGCTGCTGCTGCTGCCGCAGCCGCCACCGCCACCGCCGCCGCTCGTTTCTGTACTGGTGGGGCAAGGCTGCTGTTTCTCCTGGCACTGGCGCCTCTGCAGACACGCCGCAGCATCAAGGAAGCGACTGCTGACATTTCTTTATTGCCGTAACATCTCCTCACACCCCCACCCTCCGTGCTCTCCGCCCCCTGCCCCTCCCTCCCCCCCTCAGAAATGTTCCTGGCGGGCAACAAGGTGACCAGGGCTGTTGACAGCTATGCGTTTGGGGTGCTTATGTACGAGGTCTACACCAAGAAGCGCGCCTACTCGGGCCTGCCCCGGCAGGCGGTCATAGAGCGCGTCCACAAGATGGGCATGCGGCCCCGCTTCCCCTCCACCACGCCGGCCGCGTTCCTGAAGATTGCCTGGGCGTGCTGGCACCCTTCGCCGCAGCAGCGGCCCTCCTTCGTGCAAATAACGCAGGCTCTCGAGCAGCTTGCTGCAGACCTGTGCAGCGGCGACCCCGGCAGTTGACCCTGCGTTGTGGCTCATGGCTCCAGGCCATCCTGTGGTGAGGCCTGGGCCAGTCAGCTGGTCTTGGAGGGAGCGATGCCAAAGGCGAGGCGCGACCACCCTCCCCACATCCATTGTGAGGGCTGGCAATTCCCAACTTGGCCGTGCTGCTGGGCCGGCGCCTCAAGGCTTGGGAGGTGTTGGCGCCAGTTGAGTCTCCCGGCGCCCAACTATTCTTTGGTGCTGGGTTGTGTGAGCACTGCTTAGGTGCTGCCGCCTGTGTCGTATGCCACCAGCCTGGCGGCCTCTCAATGACTTCGGGCCTGCTGTGTGGACTGCAAGTAGCAGTCTTGCACCACTGTGATGAGACAGAGGCTTGTTATCTGTGTCCGGTCCCTGTCTGCCAATGTTGGCGCCTTTTTGCGTTTGTTTTCAGAAGCGTTGGTGGTCTGTCTTGTTGCGGCGGCCTGGGG